GGGGCGGCGGGGAGAGGGGCTGCTCTCAAGCCGCACCCCCCCTTTCCTTTCACTGGCCTTTCTGTTTCCTCCCACCCCCAGTCCCCTGTTTCAAAGTTCCTTGGCCGCTGAGCCAGTCGGGGTTTTAAAGACCTAACGGCCTTCAACTGCGGCGTTTGCTCATTTCAGACTCCTGAGCGGAGAAACGCGCCCCGAGCCTCCTTAGCCCAGCGCAGACGCCCTAGCAGGGTATCTTTCTACGTGGCCAACTCCTTTTACGGACTTTGCCCTTAACACACGCTTCCTGGAAAGTGTGAAGGCTGGCCCACCTCTGTGTCCGTGTCCATACAACCCCTCTGCCTCGGAGGCCTGCGCTGCCTCCACCTCTGTGACCAATGCCCGCCCAGACGCCTTTAAAAACGCAACTGAAGTGTGACTTCCCTCAGGTGGCCGCGGTGCTCTGGGTAAAACCTTGCCTGACACTGAGGACAGTAGTGGCACCTACGTCACAGATGGTTATGAGAACTAAGTGCGCTGATGGTTATAGGGTGTTTTGCACAGTGCCTCACATGTTAAGCCCTCGGTAAATGCAAGGTATTTCCTGCTCCGTGGAGCTGCTGAGGAGATGCAGTTCTGCAGTCCGTGGGATGTGTATGGAACAGGGTCTGGCCCTCCAAAGGGAAGACAGTAGATAACCAAGGGGCCTTTCCCTTCTCCTTTCTCAAGAGGATATCTGTGCCATCTAAGCAGAGACCTTTATAATGTGTAGGATGAAACCAAAGGCTTCCCTGGGACAGACACTTTCCAGGGAGAGGAAATGACAGGAAGAAGGCTCAGGGGCAGAAAAGCCCTTGGTCAGTTCCAGGAGCAGCCCTGAAGCTACTGTAGCTAACCAGGGGTTGAGGGAGAGAAGAGAGTAGGAAGTGGCCAGGCCATCTCTGGCTCTAGAGGACAGGGTACGGTCTTTCTGGATGGTGCATTTCATTTTTAACTCGTCCGAGGTCACGCAGTGACTTGACCTGCATGACACTGCAAAAACTTCATCTGGCTTTGACATTGAGAAGAATAAAGTATTTAGAGGATAAAGATAAGAAAAAGAGACTAGTTATAATGACTTTAATCAAGAGAGCAGCAACAAAGAAGGCAAAGAAACAATGTTGGATTCTGGATAACATTTGAAGGTAGAGGCATCAAGATTTGGGGCTGAATTGGATAGGACTTTGCAATAAAGAGTCACCTGTGACTCCAGGATCTTTCGGATGAGTAACAACTGACCCAAGGAAGGACGGCCCTGCTCTTCACAGTGATGGAAAACTGGAGGTGACTTGATTTGGTTTGGGGGAAAAGGTAGAAATCAGGAATTTGTTTCTGGATGTGTTAAATTGGAGATGCCTGTTAGACCCCCCAAGAAGAGACTTAGGTAGACAATTGGGTATAAACATCTGGAGTTCAGGCAAAGAGTAGGCGCTAGAGCCGCTTAGTGTGAGAGACATTAGCATACGGATTGTTCTGAAAGATCAGTGAATAAATAGGTCATATAGAGAGTGAGGAAGAGTTTTAGAGATGCAGCCCTGAGGTATTTCTGTAGCTGAGGTCAAACAGATGAGGGGGTTTCGGCAAAGAGAACTGAGAAGGGCGACCCCTGAAACAGGCATAGACTTGGAAACTTAGATTTCGACGAGAGGAATCATTTCAGAGGATGATGAGGACAGAGACTGCCCATACTAGGTTTAAGAAAGTGAGAAGAAGGGGCCAGCAGATGGCATAGCAGTTACCTTGCTAAACTCCCACAGGACTGGCTGCAGTTTGAGTCCGGGCCTGGTGGCTTCAAAATTACGCTAGGCATGTGTGCATGCGTGCCCAAAATCCCAGAGGAGAATAGAGGAGAGAGGATTGCAGCATGGCCATACCCTGGGGATGATTTCTCACTTTTTCTCTCACTGTCTCTGTCTCTCTCCAGTGAGTGCACAGGCCTTAAGGCAAAAAAAATCTTTGAAAAAAATGTGAGAGGAGAATGTGGTATTAGTAAGTTGATGAGTTTCTTTCATGAAGAGCTTTTCTGTCAAATGGATTGGAGAAATAAGGTCACAGCTAGAGGATGCTGGGGAATCAGGAGAGAATACTTAGTTCTGAGATGAGACTATAACAGTATTGGATGGGCGATGACCCAGGAGGCAGGCAGAACTGATAATGCAGGGGAGGCGAAATTGCTGGAGCAGCAAGCCCACATGCAGGTAAGACCAATTCCAGGTACAACCGAGGGCACAGGCAGGAGCTCCAGAACCTCGTGGAAGAAAGAGGAAGAACACCACTTTAGGGTTGGGAAGTTAGTGTATTTGGTGATAGAGACAGGTAGAAATTCTCTTCAGTTGGCTTCTTGGAAATGAGAAGGGAGCTGGGGTCCAGTGGAACTAAGAAAGACTGAGAGAGCTGTTGAAAGAGGATTCTTGAGGTAGTAAGTGGCCAGGAATTTTTTTTTTTTTTTGAGAGAGTTTTCTTTGTACAGGGCACATGCACTTGCCAGAGAGACAGGAAGTGTGAGAAATTACCCCCAAGGAGGGATGGCCACCTTGCAATTCCTTCTCCTCCATTATCCTCTCAGGATTTTGGGTACACACACATATTTGCTTGCATGAGTTTTAAGCCACTGGGTCCGGGACTCAAACCGTGGTCAACTACATAGGAATCCAGCAACGTAACCATTACGCCATCTGCTGGTCCCAAGTGGTCAGGAATTTAAAGAAAGGTCAGTGAGTGTATTCTTGGGCCTAGCCACTTCCCATCACTTCAGCCATAGGACAAAAGTAGGCAGAAGGTTGGCTTCTACAGGTGCAAAGGCTGCCATAACTATGTGGCTTGAAGAATCCAAGTTTATTGCCTCCCAGGACTGGAGGCTGGACATCCAAGTGCAAGGTCAAGGTGTCAGCAGGGTTGATTTCGTCTGAATCTCCCTTCTTGGCATGTAGATAGCCACCTTCTCTCTGTATCTTTACGTGGTCTAACATCTGTGTTTCTGTCTAAATTTTGTCTTCTTATAAGGATGCTGGTCATACTGGATTTGGGACCACCTCAATTATAAAATATTAACTTAATTTAGAGGTAATTAATATAGTCCCTAAACAGTCACATTCTGAGGCACCAGGGGATAGGACTTAAGCATATGAATATTATAAATATGAACGTTGCAAATGTCAGATAGATACAATGGAGTAGAGAAAGGCAAGAAGGTTGAAATTTTGCTCAGTAATAGGATTTTAATGATGGTCCATGACCTCTAAATTCTACAGAAATGAAGAAAGCCCAAAAGGAGAGTGAGAGACAGAAAAGATGGGAGCACTGATGACTGGGAAGTCCTGATGGGGCTTGGGGGAGGAGAGGAGAAACACCTCCACTTAAGTTGTTTCATAGGCACTGCAGACTCACTCTGCCCAAAACTGAGCTGCTAATATTTCTCCTTCTGGTCTTTTGCATTTGAGTAAAAAGAAGCAACACCTTCTCTCCCTTTGCTCAAGCTAAGATTTCCAAATCCTCTTTGACTCTTACCTCTCCCTCACCCCACAGGTCTACATGGAAGTCAGTTCCCATCGCCTCTAATTATTCATTATATTCGTGCACCAATCTAGTCCGGTAAGACAGTCCACTCTCTTTCTCACCTAGGAAGAGCTTCTCAACCATTCTTCCTCAATCCACTGTCTCTAAACACCTCTATCCATTCTTTTGACTACAGCCAGGAGGCTGGCTTTTGTTTAAACCACCCTTTTTAAAGACATAACTTTTAAAGCATTACTGAGTCCTCATCTTCCCACTTGCTTTGGACCCAACAAGCAGCAGGCTGGCTCTTGTTTGCGTCTCTAGCTCATGCAGGCACCTTGTACCTAACCCACGATTCCAGTTCAGATGGCAGTTTCTGTCCCTAACCTGCCCAAGCTCTTCCATCTCTCAGACTCCAGAAAGGTCATCCTCACCCTGCTAACTTCTATCTATCCTTCTGATCGAATCTCAACTTCCTCAGAAGCCTTTCCTGACCCTATTTAGCTTCTTAACTGAGTTCCGTCCACAAAGTAGTACACTCTCTTACTATACCATAGATGCTAGTAGATCTCCTGGGACAATACAGATGCAGCGTCTCTGGTCTAGGTCATCATTTCCAGAAACTCATCCTATGCAAATCTCTTCTAGGTGTCCCCTCTTCATGAGACTAAGTGTTTGTTCAGGACTATGTTGGCAGCAGTTAAAGTTTATGCTCTCAGTGGCCTGAAACTCAAATTGACATCCATAAATGCTAGTTGAACAAGTAAATAAGTAACTGACCAGTTTTATCTCTGGCACCCACTACCCCACCCTTCCTGATAAGAGAAGAACTGGATGCATATGGTGGTTTTTTTATCCCATATGGCAACCAAAACTTGGAATGGGGAACATGAGTTTTGCTTCATGGCTGATGTCCCTAGTCTCTGACCTTGCTGTGTCCCTGCTTTCCTTCCCTTATCCAAGCCCTGTTCTGACAGTCACATTGCTAGTAAAGTTACAAGGTTCGAATGGGTTACAATATAACGAAGCTTGACACCTGCCCTAGTATTCTATTGTAGAGTATAGCTGACTTAACTAGGCCTAGAGCAATAGACACTGGAGTTTTCCCTCCTTTGTTCTTGCATTATATAGGACAATAAATATTCTTGTGTCCCTATTTATTTTCACATGTCCAAGTACATACATAAAAGCAGACTTCTTGGGTCAAGGGACAAACATGTAAAATGTTGAAAGATGTTGCCAACCAAAGAGGCACTCTGTACCAACCAGCACTCACACTGACAGCGCCTACTGAGAGGCAGGTTTTTCAACTCCCATACAGTTACAATATTTTATTTGCTCTGTCTTCATTTCTGACTGCTAGTCAGCAATAACTTGGGGAGCATTCAGCCCTTAGTGCTCTTTCTGTTAAATGTA